GCAATTGGTCTCACTTGCCAGCTTGCTACTTGACCCATACTATCGTACAATTAAAGGATTTCAGGTACTGAGACTTGTTTGGATCTATCTGCTCATATTACCTGGTATTTAACATTTGTAGCCTTGTTTTTTTCTTCTTCTTGGAGTGTAAAATACTTCATCCACATGAGATCATTAAGGTCTGCGTTAATGCTTCAGTACGTCATTTTACTCCTGACAATGCTAGAAGGATTTAACATTTAAGTGGGGCATCCCATACCCCTTGGTTATATACAGACAGCTGTCTAAGTTGTTCGAATCATCCAGGCACTTGTAGAGAAAGATTGGCTTGCATTTGGTCATCCATTTTCAGATCGTCTGGGAATGCCCACTATATCTGGAAGTGGCAACATGCCGTTTGAATTATCTCGTCAGGCTTCGACTGGCAGTTTACCTTCATCACCCATGCGGCAAGTATCAGGGTCATCCTCATCTCAAGCTCAAAGTACATCTCATGCACAGAACCAAAGTTCCCCCATTTTCTTGCAGGTACGTCTTCCGCATGCGGTTCCGAGTTCTACCTTTTGTTTGGAGATTTACGAGCGTACAATCTAGTTGATCTTTTTATATTAGTTTTATTGTGTTTGACAAAAATATCCTCTCTCTCTCTCTCTCTGCTTCTTCATCTTTTACCCCTTTTTTTGGTTCCGTTAATCTTTTAGCTCTAACTTGTTATATTTGGATGCCCTATGCAGTGGGTTGATTGTGTTTCACAGTTGTTAAGGATGTACCCTTTTGCCTTCGAGTTCTCTTCGGTACGTGTTGCTAAAAGACATGAGAGTCAAATAAGAGTATAAATATGTATATTCCAATAAATTGATAATTTACGTCCTTGGAGATTTTTAAAGCTTTCTATCTTTCAATTCCAACAATACAGGCTTTCCTGGTGGATCTTCTGGATTGCATGCTTTCTTGCCGTTTTGGAAACTTTTTGTGCAACAGGTAATCTCGTTTTGGTAGTATTTTGTTTTTCACTTTCATTTTCGTACACATGCGTTTGTTTGCGGAACCTGAAGAAGATGCATTCTATTAGAAGTTGAGGTGCTTGTTTGATGCATTTATATGAGTTCCTGGTAGAAGGGAATCGTATTATAGTAAATGCACCTGAAGAAGAAGAGTGTTTGTTCTGAGGCATCTGTCATGATACCTGAACTAGAACATTAGATTTCTTGGGAGGTGCATGCTCCCTATTGGCTTTGTCATGACTCTCCCTCTGTTTCTACATGGTTCGTCTTTTGGGATTGCATTTTCTTTCTAAAATTTATGTTCTCTTCTTTTTGTCTTCTGTTCTAGTGGAGAAGTCATATAGAAGAGATGATGTCTGGTTTATCTTACCTGAAGAACACTCTTTCAGGTAAGTGGTATGTCTGGAAAACTAACCCTCTTTGGGTGCCACCTGGAGAGGGCAATTGGGAAGAACAGTGAAGTAAAATGGTTCAGTAGGATGGTTGTACAACCGGCAATGTTAGATAGAAGTGAATGTTAAGCCCTAAGTTCCAACATATCCACAAAATGAGTATCCAGAAATACAAGTGTTAAGATGGTATAAGATGAGATAAGATTAGAAATTATCACATTCGATAGAAGGTGCAACTCGGCCACAGAAAGAAATGAGAGAAGGTTGCTTGAGATGGTTTGGTCATGTCCTACGTGGACCTCCAGATCCAGTCCATAGGTGTGAAACCGTGTGATTGAAGGTGTTAAAAAATGACCAAGTAGCTCAACAATCACATGAAAGAAAATCGTCCCAAGAGACGTACCATCTATTGAAATCCATGCAGAAATAGTGAAACAAAAAGACAGTGAAAAAAGGGTCCTTATAGGCTATACCAATTAGTATAGATTAAGCTTTAATCATGTTAGTACGTCTATTTTAGGTCCAATGTTTGCTAGGAGTCTTTTGTTCTAGTTAGAGATTTGTATGCCAATAGAAAATATAGAGATCTAGGTACATGACTTCTAATGCTAGAGAACTTAAAATTTTAAAATATTGTACTAAGATAGGTCTAAATAGAGTGACATGGATGATCAGGATAATATGACCCAACTAGTTCAGGATTGATGTGTAGTTCTTGTAATTGAATTTATTTATTTTTTCTTTCTTTTTTTTCCTCCTTGCCATGTTTGATTACACCATATTAGAAGTTAGATTGCTCATTCAACATGAAAGGGAGTGGTAATTTGTCATGTGTGCATGACAAAAATATTTTTTCTTATCTCTTCTTTGCTTTTCTCCTTTTCTTTGGGGGGAGGGAGGGGTCTTATTTATGCTTTTATGATCAGGATTTACAGCTATTGAGCACAGTACAAGGCTTTGACACCTCAGTGGTTTCTTGGCTTTAGGTTGTTTTGAACTCCTTCATGGGATAGAAAGGATTTTTTTTTAATGTCGTTTCCTAGTTTTAGCTCACTTCTTCTGACTTCTACAAATTTCAGCGAGAAGGAAAGAGAGCAAGCTGGTATTTCTGATGCTTGTGGATGCCTGTGGATGTATTTAGCTGAACTACGGGCATCGGAAGGAAGCTCTCATGCGCATTACAACCTGTTCTATGACCCGTTGAAACATGATGGTCCGCTACTACCACCAGCAGCAGCTTTAGCTCCAACTGTTTGGCCTCAGTTTCACCTTCGTTGGGCTTGCCCGTCAGAGGCACAAGGTGGAGAAGTTGAGGCAGAATGCAGGAAGCTGACGAGAAAATTCTCTGAGCTGCAAAGGGTAAACTCTTTTTTTTTCTCTGCAGACTCCTTTCTCCTCGCCCTCTCTGAAAAGGAAAAGAAAAGGTTTCCAGCTTGAAACTGCAAAGTGCATCGTAACCCAGATATGCCATTTTAGTGTTGACAGACATATTACTATGGTCGTATTAAATTTGGCTTGTAGAGTTTCATGAGATTAGTTATGACAATGAACTTCGCAACAAAATCTAGGCTAAGTTACTTCCAACCTACAAATAATTGACCAGCATAGTTTTCTAGCTTCTTTTTAGTGTTGCCTGTCGATGTTGCCTGACAGTTGCATCTTAATTTTGTCAATTCAAGCTAGAACTTGGTGCATACATTGATTTCTGATTCGTCACTCCTTTATTAACTGTCTAAAAACAACTTTTACACAGGCAAAAGAAGCAGCAGAAACAAGACTGAACGAAATAAGTGTCACAGTGGAGTCCTTAGTTACAGAATTGAGAAATGAGAAACTTGTGAGCAACTCTGCCAGGGATGCTGTAAAAAGAGCCAGCAAAGAAACTGCTACTATAAAGCGTGCAGTACAATCTTTGGGTTTTAATGTCTACTTTTCAGTAGATGGAGACTGTAATGTATGCATTGAAAGCAACCCAACAGAAATTCCTCAGCGTTCTGTCTGCTCAGTTTCTACAACAAATTCTAATGGTTCAGTACATGGCAGTGAGAAATCAGACCTCTCTGAACCTGTTACAGTGATGCAAGATGATGTTTCCGACAATCCTCTCATCCAAGTTTGTGAATCGTTGTGCCCTATGCACAGTAGAGACAGTGGTTGCAGGTGGCCAAATCCTGGTTGTGCCAAGTTTCGGAGCCAATTTGTTGGTTTGAAGGCCAACTTTGATGCATTTGATCGCCTTCCGATATACGATAATTATTTCGGGACTTAAAAAGACGGTTGAACCAAGCCTACGCTTCTTGCTTCAAACTTCAGTTATCTGGTCAGATATCTATGTACAGTCAGAAATTGAATGGAGGCAGTAGGTTCAATTGTATTTTGGCAAAAAATTACGACAAACAAATTAGATAAGCAGCAACAGGCACAGCTTAAACCTGGTGGCTGTTAGATGAGATGGTCTCAGAACTGTACATAGGAACTGATAGAGTTATCATGTGGACCATCTGATAGTTTTGACATTGTGAGAATCTCACGTGAAGATGATTAGAACTGATATTGTATGCTTAGGAGTTAGGACTGATATTGTAGGATTTTGGTCACTGCAATTTCCTCATTCGAGTGTACATTACGACGTAGGTATTCCTCTTCCTAAGTTTCTATAGGGATTCTTTCTGCATTCTTGTAAATAAGGACAAATAATGATGAGTTCTGAATAAAAAGGGTTCCTGCAGACTTCTATCTGTGTGTTGTGTGGTGCATTTCTGCTTAATAACTATTTGCTATTTTTATACTGGGGCTGTCCACCTGTTTAATTTTCTGCACGTGTTCCTGTTTACTAATTTAAAGTAACTGGAATTTTGGTTTTTATTTACTCATCTTTCTTTTGATTGGGAGTGTATAATGGACGACAAGTGTACAGGTCGCAAGTCGCAACACCGGATGAACTGTAATATTTTCTCATTGATTCTGTGGTTCAGGAGATAAATCTTGTGGAACTTTGACATTGCTATGTTGGAGGCTGTCTTTGGGTCCTAGACGTAGATATGTCAGATGGTCTCGCCCTAGCTTCAACCCCAACTCTTTCTTGCCTTTTTCCATAGTCTTGAGGAGGAACACAATTTGTCTTCTCTTGTTGCAAAATGTTCTTTTGAGCTTGTAGCTCGGTCTTTTTCCTTATTATATGGTGAAAGCAAAGGTCATAAATGAAAATGGATCTTTCAGTCTCATTTCCTGGCTATCTGTGAACAGACTTAGGGACGTTTTTTTGTTGTTGGTATATTACTGAATGTAAGTCAAACATAATATGAGGAAAGTCAGATTGTCAAGCGATTTGTATCATCGAATTCACACTAGTGCGGTATAGCAGTTTAAATTTTGTAATGCATTTTGAGTTCATCAACTCATCTCATGTATTTGAAGGCAATTAATAAATTAACCTCAAGATATTCGAATTTTGTTACTCGAGCTGCAATCTGAGCCACTTACCATCAACAAGATGATAAGAGTAAGCCTTCCGCTCTCCCAATATCATGTGCTCAAGAGCACTATTTTTTTTCATAAGAAACACTTATCAAGCTGAATGGATATACGAGCTTACAACTACTCATCAGCAAATCCTGGACTCACTTTAGCAATTGAAGAATTAACAAAAATAGCCAACACAGGTTGCATAAAATGCGGACCAGAACATTGATGTAGCTTGATTCAGGTTTTTACAGTTAATATTATAAAACCACAACTGTGACTAAGATACTTTACAAGGCTCACATAAACCTATCTCCACAAGTATCACTCTTCGCTTTCTCCCGTCTAACTTGTGGCAACACAAGTGTCAAGGTCTAGTCTTGACTGGGAGGAGGTTCGTCATTGGATGGCCTCCCATTTCCACGACGTTCATTCCATCTTGTCCAAGCCCATCTTAAAATAAAGAACCCGCCGATAGCATAAACCTGAGTTCAGATATAGTGCAGAAAATTCAGGCAGGAGAATAAGAAAAGGCAGCAGATCAAAAAAGAAGCAAAATCTTGAGATGTGTAGGGGCACAACATTTTACTTGTTGAATACATGATTATCACCTCTTTCAAATTTATACAGCAATGTTTTGGAACATATAACATACAGTTCACAATAGTCTTACTATTATTCCCATGTATGGTTCACAGCAGTCTTACTATTCACAGTGGTTCAGATTTATTTACCTCTTTCTTTATTATATAGTTAGTGTTCTATATCATATATCAGCACTACCTTCCTTTTTATTTTTCAATGAAATCAATGAAAAGTAGCAAATTACTCAGTTGAGGTACTTATGGACCTCAGCGATTACAATGTTCTCTTTCTTTCTAGTCTAGAGAATGTACACTGCACTTAAAAGGTACTTAACTGTGAAGCTTTATCCACACAAAAAAAAAGGTGCTTAACGGTGGAGAATATAAACTGCTACTACTGTAAACATAATATACAATAAATATTTCCTAATACAATAAATATTTCCTAACAGGTCTCAAATTATGAAGGCTAGTCTGATTATAGGAATTCATATTTTGTCTTCAAAGCTTTCTCTTTGACACAATCTCTTAAAAAACAATGTTACATAGGCCAGTGCTAGTACCAAATCAAAGCTGTTGGTTTTGTGAGAAGAGGTGTCTCATAACATTCTCCATAACTGAGAAGTGAAAGCAGAGTATCATGGAAAATAATCATCATACCTGATTAAATAGCATGGAATGCCACTACATAAGCTTTTAAAAAGTTCATCTTACCACAGATTTTCTTTGGTATGATATCCTCAAAACCAAAACAAAATAGGTGAGGCGCTAGTAGCAAAAGCTCCATAGAAGGCATGGTATTACATATGCACGAGTTCGTCTGCTCAGACATTTGAACATATTCAATAACAGACTCAAAGCACAAAGAGTGGAATACCCAGAACAAGGTAAAGAATCAAATTGTAGTTTCAGTTACACAAGGATTTTCCGGTGAGCAAAGAATGCCAATATCTCCACCTAAATTCCCGGCGAAGGCCAAAAATTCCATCCACAGTACAAATGACTCTGCTCATAAAGGTAAGCTAGCCAGGTACATGGGCAGATGTACCTTATGGGTAGATGGTGCGGGAGTACCACTTCCTTCAGATTCAAATTTCGAATATACAGTTGAAAGACTTAATAATAATATATATCTATTCTAAGACCATGTCAATTGTCACAAAAGAAGTAACGTTGGCAATGGTACTCTACTCCTATTGACTTAAAATGCCCGATCAGCCTCTTTCAACCTTGCAAAAGGACAGCCCAGTGCACAAGGCATCCCGCGCATCAGTGGTTGTTCTCGTGGCTCGAGCCCGTGACCTATAGGTCACACGGAAACAACTTTACGTTGCTCCAAGGCTCCCCTTCAATCTCTTTCAACTATACGAAGAAGAAAAAAGGGAAAATGAACTATTTACCTTATATCATTATTCATCCTACCTTCTATTTTTTATTTTTTATAACAGTGGTAATAAAGCCAGCATTCCACCTAGTAGCTTGTGCCTCTGCCATCACATATACCGAGTAACTCTGCCACCAAGGCTTAGACAAATGTCACATAGTGTGTTTTGTCTTTGTTGGGAGTTGAACTCTGGTCTCAAACGTTTGCACCCACTTCATCGGCCATTAGGCCACACCCTTGGGCGCTATTCATCCTTCCTTACAACAGTGTTCATTTAACCCCAAAAAAAAAGTTGTTGTTCGAAACATTTACAACTATAGTTGACCTTAACTATACACGAATTCTACATACCACTTTATCGAGACCTGCTTTTGCATATTATTCTTACAGTGTTAATTACACTCATTTGTAGCCCAGCCATTACATAAGTCAAACATCCAAAGCTCATACATGCAAAACAACAGTTTCTCCGAACTAGATAGGGTTTACAAAATAATTTGATTAAATTCTAGCAAGTTGTATAGAAACCAAATGGTGCTAAACATTTTTGGAATACCTGCCACAAAACGATGGGGTTAGTATCGGGTTCAGCCCCTTCTGATTCGAGCTTCAAAGAAGGCAACTCCTGACGTGGAAACTTCACTACAGCAGGGTTTTGCTTTTCCTCTTCACCTGAAACTTGAGTTGGTTTGGCCTCTGAAGTAGTAGCAGTGGGTTCTATCTTCTTCTTATTGGGTAGTGGCGGTTTGAAGAGCTGAAGGAAACTGCAGAGCAATGAGAAAATAGGGTTTTTGTTGGGTTTGTCATCTTTTCCGGCATCTGGGTTCGGAATTGAGTCAGTGGAGATTGTTGTTGTGGTTTCCGCCATAGCCAATTTGGAGTTTTGACTTTAGGAATTGCGTTGGTTACAACAGTATATCCTACTCCTACTAGTACTATCAACTATCAAGGGCAACCAACGAGAAATTACGGGATTTTTGTGGAACAAACGGGTAACGGGTATGGACCTGGATATTTCTTTACACAAATAGCCCGTCATATTCAATGTTTGTTTTTTCTAGCCATATACATAATTATATATTGATTAACATAATTTTATATATATAAAATCTTCTTTAAAAACATCTAGTAAATGCCCATTGGATTTAATATTAATTTATTCTTGATTTTATGTAATCTTTATTTTAACAAAAGACCGTTTAGGAGATAAAATATTAGCTCTTGTAGAGTTACAAAATATTCTGAGCGCCTCGCCTCGATTAACAAGAGCTTGTGTGTCGTCATAAGGCTCTAAGTATACTTTTCTTATTCAATTTATCCTGACATATTCAATTTATCTTAACATATTCAGTTTATTTTACCTTCTTTTTTTTATAGTTTTTGTCCATGTATTTATTATTATGTTTATAATTATATATTACTTTGGACGATGGTTCCGCTTTACAAGAACAAGGGTGATATCCAAAATTGCAATAATTATAGGGGTAAAGCTGTTGAGTCACACTATGAAGATTTGGGAGAGGTGGTGGAGGCCAGGGTGAGGCGGTGCGTGTCTATTTTCGAGAATCAGTTTGGATTCATGCGGGGGCGTTCGACTACGGGGCGGTTCATCTGGTAAGGAGATTAGTGGAGCAGTAGAGGGAGAGGAAGAGGACTTGCATATGGTGTTTATTGACCTTAAGAAAGCGTACGATAAAGTCCTGAGGGAGGTCCTGTGGAGGTGTTTGGAGGCTAGCGGCGTTCCGGTAGCGTACATTAGGGTGATTAAGGATATGTATGATGATGCTAAGACTCGGGTGAGGACTGTGGGTGGTGACTCGGAGCATTTCCCTGTGGTGATGGGGTTGCACCAGGGATCGGCTCTTAACTTTTATTTGCCTTAACGATGGATGTATTGTCGCGACACATCCAAGGGGATGTGCCTTGGTGCATGCTATTTGTTGATGATATAGTGTTGATTGACGAGACGCAAAGCGGAGTTAACGCGAGGTTGGAGGTTTGGAGACAGACCTTGGAGTCTAAAGGTTTCAAATTGAGTAGAACCAAAACAGAGTACTTGGAGTGCAAATTCTGTGATGGGACCCATGAAGCAGACGTAGAGGTAAAGCTTGATGCTCAAGTTATCCCCAAGAAAGCGAGTTTTAAGTATCTCGGGTCTATTATCCAAGGTAACAGGGAGATTCACGTAGATGTCGCACATCCTATCGGAGCGGGTTGGGTGAAGTGGAGGCTCGCTTCCGGTGTTTTATGTGATAAGAATGTGCCGCCAAGACTTAAAGGTAAGTTTTATAGAGTGGTGGTTCGACCAGCTATGCTGTATAGGGCGGAGTGTTGGCCCGTCAAGAACTCCCACGTGCAGAAGATGAAAGTAGCAGAGATGAGGATGTTGAGATGGATGTGTGGGTGTAATAGGAGAGATAAGATCAAGAATGAAGTTATCCGAGACAGAGTGGGAGTAGCGTCCTTGGAGGGAAAGATGCGGGAGTCGAGGATGAGATGGTTCGGACATGTTGAGAAAAAGCATTGATGCTCCTGTTCGGAGGCGTGAGAGGTTGTCCATGACGAGTTTGAGAAGAGGTCGAGGTAGGCCTAAGAAGTACCGGGGAGAGGTGATTAGACAGGACATGGCACTGCTTCAGCTCACTGAGGACATGACCCTTGATAGGAGGGTGTGGAGGTCGAGGATTAAGGTAGAAGGTTAGTGGGTAGTTTTTAGTTGCTCACCGATAGTCTTAGTAGCACGCATGTCCCTTCATATTCTTAGATTTTTATTACGTTTTGTGGTTTTGTTCGCCTCAGGTATTGTATTCTCTGTTGCTATTATTTGGTACTACTTATCCTTTATCTCTCCCTTTTCCTTTCCTCTTCTCTCTTTCTCCCATTCTTGCTTTCCTCTTCTTCTTAATACCCTTCCTGAGCCTTAGGTATGCCCAAACCCCACCTGGTGGAACATACTGAGTTTGTTGTTGTTGTTGTTCTTTAGTCATTAAAACTCACGTGTTATTAGTGCTCTTTCGCATTTGATAACACGATCTAGAAAGGAATGTCCTTGCAAATTATCTTCACTAAAAGTAAAAGATAAATAGTTTAAGTTTTATACATAGATAATATTCAACTTTTTAATACCATCATGTAAAATTGACATGAGATATCTTTCAAGTTTCTTCTTTTTATTGCCCGATTCCTTAGTTACTTTTTCCTTTTTTTTTTCTTCTAAAATTAAAATACTTTATTTGCCTGTTATTCTACCCCCATATATGCCTCTCTCCTTTAAAATGTAATTGAAGCATATAATGCTGTTTCTATGGTATCTGCAACTTTGGATGCATCTTAAGTTCTTAACCAAAAAGGAGCAGGAAAAATTGAAATTCGCTTACAGAGCAATCACAGAGAAAATAGGAAAAGATAGAATTTGTTTTACCTTATTAAAGGAAATAGTCACTAATTTGGTTAGAGTACAATTAGGACTCTACATTTAATATTTTCTTCCTAAGTTTATGTTATATAAGTTACGTGCTAATCATTTAATTTACCTGATGGTCTAACACACTTTGTCACTTTATACCTTGCACAAAACTTAAACCAAAAAGGAAAAACTTACGAGAAGTTTTAAAAAATCAAAGCAAATACCGTCTATAATTAATATTATTGCTATTGGCAGAGGAATATGTTTTTTTTTTTGCCTTTACCTTTCTTGATGGTTACTCCAATATAATAACTTGGAACATACTCCCTTCATATTTTTATATAATACTTATGCCTATAAAACGAATCTCACTAATTAAGAACATATAGATTAGGCTTCTAATAATCAAGAGGCGTGGCTGGTTAATATTGAACTATAATTGTTTATATTGTTCGATTTTCTCTTCTTTATATTCGTTGAATCTTCTACTTCGATTTATTTATGGGAAATTAATATATATATATATATATATATATATATATATATATATATATATATATATATGGGAATCTACATTTTTAACATTATTAATTAATGTTGCCTTGTTTTTCAAACATAGTCATAACATCTCGAGTATTTGTATTTTTGGTTCCTCAATGATAAGAATATACTCTCCCCCCACTATGTATACATTGGAATCTCAATATAAGGTACTCAAAATCGGGAAAAGATAGTATATACTAATTTTATTTTAAATTTTGAACATATTATGTAAAATGGCCATGTGATTATTTTTCACTCAACAAGAACTTGAACCCTCCCCTCTATCTTCTTTACCTATTATTATTGCTTCTCTGGTTTCATATACCAAGTTTAATTTTTCAAATACAGATGGGTAAACCAATCTGCAGATACTAAAGTTTTCATTCTAGACATTGTGATCTGAGGATTTTAATCACGTCCTTGCTAAGTGTATACGGTCGAAGTCAGGTATGCCCGATTTCGTAGGCTCGAAGAGTCGCTTTGAGAGTCTCTTTTCGGGATTGCCGCCTGGCATGATCGACATCACATGACAATTTGACTTCAGCAGCAATAGAGATCTCTTATGCCCGAGATGTTGGCAGCCTCGGCGTCAGCTCGATAAGAGGCCACAAACGCCTCTGCCTCAGATTTAGCCTACGCAAGTTCGGCGGCTGACTTAGCTTCGAGCTCCTCAATCTTCTGGCTCCGGGCCGAGCTTTCCCCCTTCACATTTTGAAGTTGTCATTCGACCGAAGTCAAATGGGCCCGAACCGTGTCTTTCTCCAAGGCGAGACGATCTACATGTTGTTTCCACGCCAGGGTCTTGGCCTCTTTCGTCTTGACCCCCTCTCGAAGCTGCACCACCAGCTCGCCCTTCTGCTGGGCCTACAAAGTCGAAATGTTAATCGCTAAGTCAAATGAACACATAACAAACTCCCAAAAAGTTACATTACCTGCTCAATGAGCTCAGTCTGTTCTCGATGAGCCCTCGTCAGTTCGGCTCGGAGGTCCCTGATCTCCTCCTCTTTTTGAACGTAGAGGAGTTTGAGGCCATCCCTCTCTTCCACGAGCTTTTTGAGTTCGGCCTCGCATCGGGCAAGCTCGGCTCGAGATTTGGAAAATGCTTCTCGATGGAGCGTCATAGCCTTCACACAAAGGAAAAAAAGTTAAACTTGGAAAAACGAGAATAAAACACAAGCATAATTATGGAGGCAGAAACTTACTTGTTTAAGAAGCCGCTGGGCCTCGTCAAAAATGAACGAAGCATCCAGTTCGGGACCATCTTCGACCCCTGCGAAGCATCCCTGGAAAATATCATTCCCTTCGTGGGTCGTCCCCATGTCGGGAATCTTTATAGCCCGGGCATCTCGGAACTGCCCTTCGGAGAACATAGGGCCAGGCGGCGATTCATCTATATTAATTATCCCAAGTGAGTCACTTGGGACATTCTCTTCTCTTTGAGGGGCCTTGAAATTAGGCCATTCAGGCTTACCCGCCAGGCATTCTTCACGACGAGGTGCGCTTTTATCACTCGACGGCTCGGGGAATCTGCTCGAGCTCCCCTTCGAGATTTCTTCGGTTCGAGATTGAACCACATCAACCACCGCCGGTACAGCGGCCTTTGAAGCTTCAGTGCTTCCCCACTTCCAAGCTACTAGCAAGCAGTCAGCGTCCTCTCCTTCTTCCTCGTCCTCCCGAAATTGTTGTACCGCGTCAGCAGACAGGGCTGCAAGGTCGGACCTAGGCTTTAGAGCCCTATTTTTCCTGGGTTTCGGGGTACATGGAGGCGAGGACCTTTTCCTCTTCTTCTCTTTGGTTGGCTTCGGGATCTCCTCTTCGCCGGGCAGAGGCGGCCTCATAACAACATTGTCTCTGAGGCCTATGTAAGGGGAAAGTAAGCATTTTACAGAAAAGCATCAACATGTGAACAAAGGAACTCACCGTGGTTTTTAGCTTCCCACCGACCCCTAGCCAAATCGCGCCAACAACGCTCGGCATGTGAAAAAGTGGAGGCCAGTT